AGAACAGCACTAAGAGCTCCAGGGGGGCTCAGCTAGCTTTGCTTCCCTGTGTTCAGCCTGCTGCAGCAGGGCTCAGGTAGGCCCACAAGTGGCAGACTTTGGTAGTGTTCACATAACACTGATTTTTATGTGTGCAGAGTGCAAGAGTTTGGGGGGGATGCAAGGTGGTTCCTCCTGAAATATCAAAGGAAATCCTGGGAAACCACAGTTGCCCTGCAGGGTTGAAGCCCTTATGTGGAACCCAATTGGGCATACATATAGTGCAAACTGAAAGGATAAAACCAGTGTGGAGATCTCAGCAAGGTAAAATGCCCAGAACATACAACACCTCAGAAAAAGCCACAGACACCTGCAGGCTAGCTCATAGAGCAACCATGATGGCATCAAGGAAGCAGAGAGGCTTCCCCTGAGATGTTAAAGGATGCCTAGGAAGGGCGGATTCATCATGAGGTAGATTGTTGTTAAGAGCTCTTGCCATGGCTCTGCAAAGTAGAACGTGGAACTGGAGTTGCCACAAAAATTGCCCCCAGGGTTCTGTCTGGCTGGCAAAGCAGCAGACATGGGACTACAGTCCAGGAGCACTGAAACACAGGCTATCATCAGACAGAACTCTCACTGACCACCAGTGTGCAGTGCACCTTGGATGTCTGACATGGGGCTTTGCAATTTGCTTGCCCTAATGGATTTGGTGTTGCTTTGGTCTGATGAACCCTACTCCTCTACTCCCTTCTTTATGAAATGGGATTGCGTTTATCCTGCCATTGTATCTTAGAAGCATGTAATTAGAATTTTTACGGACTCATTTATAAATAAGAGCATGTTTGAGTCTTACAACTTTGGGTTTGGCCTTTGGGATTAACACTGGAGGATCTGACTTGGGGATGGAAGAATCGTATGTTGGGATGAATACTGGAGGAGCTTACTTGGGGATGGAAGATTTATATGTTGGACATGAGGTTTAGGGAAGCAGGGGCAGGATGCCATGGTTGGAATACAATTTGGATTCTGAACTTCTTCCAGATTTTCAGCCCTTAAATTACACGTGAATAGTACCAAGGATGTGGAGACACCAGGTGCGCCTATACTGGGAGGTCCTTAGGGAACGCCCATGTGAATGTCCCCAGAGGCAGTTCTCATGAGAGGCTCTGTCATGGAAGAAAGTCAGGGTGGGCTCACTGTGTGCTCCCCAGCTCACCAGGTCCTATGCACTTGTCTATTATTGGAGGTCAAGCTACTGAGGCCACCCAATCTTGGAATTGCAAGTCCAAATTCTTCCTTTCCAGAGTGTAGTTCCCTCTGGCATTTTGTTGTGACAGTAAAAGTTTAACCCAAGTGCTTCAAAAAGGACTCCAATTAAGCACACAGTCGCTGAGACAAGAGGAACTCTGCTTGGCTACCGTGAACTGGGCAAAGTATAGACGAGGTGGTGAACGATGGGTCACAGGTGGAGGATTCAGTTTTAATCTGATGCTCTGTACACTGAGCATCAGATGGTATTCATGAGGGCATGAATAATCTATACTGTCTGGGTATCAGTCTGTGTGCGAGGCACTAGGTGGACAGGGATGAGGAAGGTGGCACTGTTCCTCGGGTCTCCAGGCTGGTGGGCAGCAGGAAAAGCTATTATGATATTGCAGAATGATAGCCACTGAGGCAATGGTGAGCACAGGTATTATTTATCTATGGAGGGAAGGGACGTGTCCTGTAGCTCCCTGCTGGAGAGGGTGTGGAGACCAAGAAGGGCATCTGAGCAACAGGCTTTTCATGAATACCACCAGTGGCCACATCAGTACCTGGAATAAGAGAGGCAATGACTTTGAAGAGGCGACTAGAAGGTGGGGCCTGGCATGGAATATTCCACACACCTGTTCAATATCCTGAAATCTGAAAGGATTTAAAAATGCTGTATTTGGACAGTGTTTGGCTTACGTAGATTTGTACTGTACAGATTCAAGTGATGGGCTAGACATGGCAAGACTGTTAAAGGAATTCAGGAAAGACAGAAAGGCCTGGAAGCTCTGGAAATGGTAAGAGCTCTCAGAAGGCTTGAGGAGGTCAAGTGATGATGTGACAGGCAGAAAAGCTGGGATTCAGGGTAACTCCTGTGGCAGTGTCATAATTTTGGGCCTAGGGTTTCCCTGATGTTGACTCAGCTTGTGAGTTCCTGGTATGTGAGCAGGACCTGTGACTTGACTATAGCTAAGCCATGTAGTAGCGCTGTTGATATTGAGCTAATCAGAATGAATTCTGTCAGTGGAGGCAGCCCAGTGGCAGTTTCTTCCTTGGCAGAGCTTCCAAGTGAGAAGTCAACCTGCCCACCTCTTCATTATAATGCCGTCCCTTAGCAGAAAACCCAAGTATTCTGTGTCCAGCCTGCTCACCCAGGAAACTTCAATAAAGCAGTGTTGTTCCAAGCTCCTAACTTGTGCTCCTTTGTTACGGAGCAACAGAAAACAAACACAACATCCATGGGGAAAGCTGGAGAACAGGAGGCAGTGGTGATCACGGTAGCCATTTATAATACACTTGCTCTGTCTCCGGCACCATGCATGGCCATAGTTATCCACGAGAGTCAACCACATTATCAATCATTGTGTAAACAAACTGTCCTTTTGAGAGAGGTGGGTAGCTCAGCCCATGTTAGGAGCACAGAATCTCTAGTTGTTGCTGCTCAAGTCCAGGCAGACAATTCTCAATCAAGGATGCGTGTGATTTCTGCTTTAGAAATCTGCAATGTATGTGCCCTCAATCAAGGACTTGCCTCTGTTACCGCCAGCTAGGTTGTAGCACGTACCGTGGGGCCTCATGGATCCTGTGTGTGCAGTGGAGAGCAGTGAGCTCCAAACATCGCAGGGCTTCTCTCCTGCTACAGCTCCCCTGAAGCGACTTTCTGAAGGGAAGACAACACAGTTCAGAACAGTTCTTGTTATGAAAAATTTTATTCAGATGGACAATAGCACAGACCTAAAACATCTCTCTTTATGTGAAAGTCAGTGAGATCAGAATACCAGGCCTACAAAAAGTGTGGAAATACAAAATGTAACAGTGGTAACTGACAAAATGCAAAGCTCTGGAAATTCTTGTGTTGAAGGATCGTTTTCCTAATGTCATAATTTGCCATCTTCATATCTCTGTGGAGGAGAATCTAAGATCTTAATTTCTCACATCACTCTTTATGTGTGGGCACATTCTTAGCAAATGACAAAGCCAAAAAAGAAAAGAAACTTGAAATTTTTAGGCAATGTAGTCATTAAGAAAAGAATCTGGGCCTAGAATACCACTTTCCAGAACACCATTAAATTGCAATTATGGTGCTTTTAAAAAAAAAGACAACTTGCTAAAGAGGAGCTAATTGTTCGGGTTTTGTAGAGAACCTTGTCACACTGGGATTCTGCAAGGATTCATCTCCTTTGGCAGGCAAGGGAAAACATCAGGGCATGAGAAACTGTTCTAACTTTCAATCACCTGAAGCATAATTCTGATCAAACCACATGCTTTGGTGACCAAATACTTTTCCATCTAAAAAGGAACCTTAAGACATTTCATGAAAACAGCTAGGACAACCACAAATGAGCAACCGTTACCTTATCAATCTTTTTAAAAGGTTTCATTTTATTTGTGGAAAAACAGGACCAGAAAGCCCAAAATGGCCCAGTGAGGAGGCATTTCATTTCAAATGCCCTCCTATCCCACCTCAATGTGCTGACTGCCCATTTCCATCAACATCCTCTTCACAGATTCATGGGGAAGCTGCAGACCAGCACCTTTAAAACCTCAGTTTTCCTTAATCATTGAGCAACAATGAATTCATATTAAACTTGGAAAGTGATCACGAGTCATGCCACAAGAAAAGCTAAGCAGTCAGTACTAACCGTTGAAAAGTATTCATTACTAGAAATACTGCTCTCCCGAGAGGCTAAAGGAGCCCACTCCCCGCCTACACAGGAGTGTATGGGACAAGAGACTAGGCTTGATCTTAACCATTTGTCCATTTGCACAACAGAATTTATATAGGATGCCCACTAACAACATTGTCTCAGGAGCTGGCAACAGAGCAAAGGATGAAGTCAGCACTGTGGCACAGCGGGTAAAACTGCTTTCTGTGATGCCAGCAACTTGTATGGGCGTCAGAGTTCTGGCTGCCCCACTTCCAGGCACCTCCCTGCTAATGTGCCTGGGAAAGCAGCTAAGGATGCCCAAAGTGCTTGGGTTCCTGTACCCACAAGGGAGACATGCAGGAAGCTCCTGACTCCTGGCTTCAGACTAGCCCAGCCCCAGTTGTTGCAGCCATGAGGGACTGAACCAGTGGATAGAAGAGCTCTCCATCTCTCCTCTCAGTAACTCTTACTCAAAAAGGGCAGTGAATGAGATCTTCCAGATCTTCTATTGATCCTGGACTGACAGTAAGCAAAAGTCATCAAACATGAACACTCTTTTTAAAGGGCATGTTTGCTTATCTGAAAGCAGTTACAGGAGAGGGGAAGAGATGCAAGGATCTTTCCCTTGTCTGGTTCACACCCCAGACGGCTGCAATGGTTAGGACTGGGTCAGGTCCAAGCCAGGAGCAACACCTGGGTCTCCCACAGCAGTGGCAGGGGTCCAAGCACTTAGGCCAGCCCCTGTGGCTTTCCCAGACACAACAGCAGGGAGCTCATTTGGAAGTGGAACAGCTCAGATGGCATGCCAGCATCACAGGTGGCAGTTTTAGCTGCTATGCCACAAAGCTGACTCTTAAACATGAGCACATTTTAAAAGATATGCTATACTTTGTTTTCTTGGAGTTGAACCAATTCTCACAGAGTCAAACTGGTCCCAGCATTCCCATTTGAGCTCAGTCTAGGATGGTAGATAATTATGCAGTGAACAGGGGAATTGCCACATTACAAGGTAAACATGCTAACCAGACATACTGTACAGCTGGAAGTTTCTAGTTTCCTCACAGTACAACCATAGAGCAGTGCATGCATTTATGAGTTCATCCTTCTCATTTTCCAGTGAGGAAAAGTAAGACACCTGAATCTGGAAGGAGATACTTCTTCATAGGGAGGAGAACGGCAGTTTCGGTCAGCTCCTGGTCATTTTGGGTCCTTGCTGCCTAGTCACTCTTGATCTTGTTCAGTCTGACTCTAGAAGGTAAGTAGCAGTTATTGAAAGGATATAGCTCATTCAGAAGAATGCAATGAAACGATTACAAACCCTAGTCTTTTTGTGGGAAAAAGTGGCTTTCCCAAGGACAAAGTGAGCTGCCTTCTCTGCCTGCGGGCTGCAATTCAGACCCTAGAACTCCTGCTCCTTGACCTCAGATCCACGTCTAACAATCTGTGACTGAGCAGAAGGCCACTGCTTTAAAAATATTTGCAAGGGGGTTTGGAAGCCCACGAGGCTTAAGCACCTCTACTTGGGAGGTCTTCTGTCCCTTGGTGACATTAACCTGTTTTTAAACGCCCTCATCACTTAGGTAGCATCATTTAAACACATTCATCTCTTCTTTTTATAAAACAATGAATGTTTTACAACAGCATTTCTCCTCACCAGCAGTCTGCCAAGCCAGCCTCTCTGAGTGGATGGGTGAGTTAGCTTCCCTAACACTTCTTTCCGTAGCTGAATGAGTCACCAGCGTTCACAGGCAAGCCTTGCAGAGACCCAATTGCCTGTATCCCCAGGCTTGTTCTGCCCATTCCCAGCAAGGGAAGATGCAAAAGAACAAAAGCATCCTTATGTTCTAAACCGCACTCTGTGTATTCTATAACTCACAGAATTGGAATCGCCAGGCTCAGGGAACAATCAGAACAACTTTCCAAGCCATGAGCTAAAAAACTAGGGTGAGATGAAAACCAAGCATGGCACCTCCCAGAACAAAGAGTGCTCCTTTCTTGGCAGGGCCTGTAACAGAGCTGCTCTTCCCAAGTCCCTGCTATCTTTGTGAAGGCCTAAGAGGCCCTCAACAACGGCCTGCCTGTTCACACCTGCACAGCCAGGGCCACGTGCAGTGCTAAAGGCATCAGACTACTGCAGCTCAGGACCCAATTCCACTACCTCTGATGAGAGGACCAGATGTGGCAGGTCATGCACTCTTCCCAATCTCCTAAAACACCCATTTCTATCATTTACAAACTTGTGGATGGAAAAATATACTCTGAAAACATCTTTTCAAGTTTTCAAAAGAAACCAGAGTATAGGTTGTGAAAGGAACACCTCAGGTACAGTGAGAATGTAGCAGTGTCAGTTACTTAAGTTGCTGCCATTTCTAAATGGCACTATAATTTACAATATTAAATATTGATAACAGATAACTTAAAATGCTGATTGCATCCTTGATATACTTATCATTAGATGCACAAAATCTGCTTTTACAAACATCCTGAAAGGCAAATAGCAGCTAACTTCCTTCCATTCTTCACAAGACAGTAGTTACATGAGGTAAACAACATCCCCCAGGGCAGACGTAAACTCCCAGGTTCCTAAACAACGTGTTAATGGCTAAGGATCAACTGGGAAGGTCCACAGATGCTACAGATCCTTTGGGATAAAATGTGAACATAAGAGCTGTTTACACGGTCAGTATGTGGCAAGGATTCCTTAAAGCTCATTTGGAATTTGATATTTTTAACTCTGAATGCTGTCTGACCCACCCATCAGTAATGTGGATTCTATAATGCTCCATCATTGCTAGGAAGTTCTTTCCACCTAGTCTCAAGTCTGACATTGTATTTAAAAATGCATTTTTAAAATGGAGCTTAAATAGAAACAAAATAATCTTCTAAGTGGTCTCCAAGTACATCATGTGGCAGGTGCCGCTCCTGCACTTTGAGCCAGATAGGCAGTGTCTCTTGCATTAAGCATTCCTGGGTTCTGAGTTAAGTAAATCCTGTTTCCAATGTCTTTGACAGAGAGGCAGCCTGTAGACAGCCAAGAAATTCAGATTTCCTCCACTGAGCTTTTGTTTTTCTTTTTTTCAGTGTTCCTTCTGGGGTTGGAGCCAGGAGCACATGGGCAGCTACCCCCATACCGACCTCTCCCCAGGGCAGAGTGCAACCAACAGTGCTTCGAGGAAGGTACTGAGCCATGCAATACAAGCACCTGTGTGCCAGAGAAGCAAGGCACCACACACACAACTGGTATAGGACCGGCCAAAGGCAGGATGATGGGCGGGTCCCCAGGGCGTATATTTCTTGTCTCAGTCACGAAGGGCACAGAAGAGACCGAGATAAGTTGTGTTCTGACAGGTTTATTATCTCATCAGGCAACACATCTCCCAAAGCTCGCGGTCCTGTCACAGCGGGAGCAGAGAAGTGTGTGTATGGAGTGGTGAAGAGGGCTCCTCGTACCAGCCTTCCCGTTGCCCCGTTAGGACTCACACAGACATACTTCGGCAGTTTCCTTCTCTCGGCATTGCTTCTTGTAGGGTGCTCATAAGCCATCCTCCACAGCATCTTGCTGACTGCCATGTTCATTTAGAGACTCAGAGTATCTCCACCAGGAACAACCGGCTGCAAACCAACTATGAATCAAACAGCTTGACACAAAGTGAATTCCGTTGTAAAAGTCACAGATGTCATATTCCAGAAGAATTCAGAAGTCTCTGCCGAGCATTCTTATCACCATTACTCGCTTTAGTTTCACTGTGTTCGTCCAAATCTGTGAAAACTGAAAACATTTATGACAGAATTATAGCAAGAACCATTAGAACTAATCAGCTTTCTTCCTGCCAAGAAGTCTTTTAGTCTGTGCTTTATAATCTTAGGAAACAGCAAAATAGTGATGCTAGGTCATGGCGACAAATAACAAGTGTTCAGTCCCTGTTCAAACAGAAAGAATGACTGTTGAGAGATGAGAGGGACAGCAAGAGAAGTGCAGCCAGGACAGAGAGGCAAGCGAGAATCAGCGGACAGAGTCCAGAAGTTTTTGCTTCTTGTAAACTTGGGGCAACATCAGTTCCTTCCCTCACTCTCCTGGTGCCCAGGGGTCCTCTCTAAGATCCAGCCAGGAAACAGTTTAGATGATGCGTGGGACACAGACTGTCAGTACGTCTAGAAGGCCGGGGGCCCTCCCAGCCTCTGCCCTACCTTTGAGCGCTGCCGTCTGGCTGCCCTGCTCCTCCCCTGCCGTCTCTGTGGGCTTGCGAGCTTTGCCATCAAGCACGTCCATCTTGATCATGCCAAGGTTGGTGAGGAGCAGCATTGGGTCAATCCCCTCGCTGCTGCTCTTAATATTCTCCAGGACCTTAAGCCACTTGTAGGATTTGAGCTCACTTATGTTCTCCTCCAAGAAGAGATTGTAGAGGCTCAGGTCGTTGTACCCTTCCGACTTGAACTGCAGCACATCGAAAGTGGGCAGAATCTCGTACACTTTGAGGACGTCTGTCTTTTGCCGGTACGGGACGCACAGCGTGTAGAGCACGAGGGGCGCCAGCAGCCCGTACACCAGGAGGTTGATGAAGCTGAGCAGCTGGAAGACTCCCACGGCGATGAGCTTGCACTGAAACCGATCGGGCACGCTGCTGTCGTTTCTCAGGATCCCCGACTTGATGTTGCAGATGAACTCATCCGAGAGCGAAGAGAGGCTGAAGTAATAGCCTAGGTAGCCGCACGCCAACAGGATGATGGTGAGTGTGAGCAGCCGGCAGCCAACGTACTGCACGATGAGCTTGCCGGAGCTCTTCTTCGTCTTCAGGTACTGTTCCACGATGGGGTACTTGAAGTGACTTTCCGGTACCTCCCAGAAACTACAAAGGGAAGCATACAAACGTCACGTAGACCCTCACTGAGCCCTCCACGCAGCACACACACACGTTTACGCCCTTCACACTGAAAACCTCAGCCTGCCTCTTCAGCAGCAGGCAAGGGAATCAAAGCAGGTTTTCAAAAGAGAAATGCAGGAATAAAACACTTAACCCCTTTAGAAATTCTTGAAACAATGCCCGACACCTAGAATATAAATGTGAGATGTTATCAATTCGTGAATGGGAAATATTTTTGTCTTTTTTTTTTTAAATAATCTTACTTAGTTGATTAGGGTACAAAGGGTCAAGAGCTGCAGGAAAGTGAGTAAGACCACTGTTTCCACACTAATATTTTTTTCCCTGTATCTGGGGTTAGGGGAGAAACAAAGGGAAAAGCCCCACCCATTTCAGGTCCCCGATGTGGGGCCCTGCGCTCCGAGGGTCCTGCTCCAGTTTTGATAGTTCAACAGTCTGGATTGCTGCCAATCTCGCTGTTCCAATCGCAATGAAATCTATTAAAATTATTTTTCTACTAAGATGTGCAGAATAAAGGCTTTTTAGCCCAAGGTGTGCAGGGAGGCAGAGGGGGTGCAGGTGGAGGACTTCCCAGTGACAGCTCCAGGACTGTCTTCTCATTGGAAAACAACTGAAGTGTGCAGGTAGAGATAAAAATAAACACAGTTAATGATGTTCTGAGGACTAAATGACACAAGGTCTTAAATTCAACACAGTGTCCATGAGGATTTGAAAACTGTCACTGTCAATAACGAAGTGGGGTGGTAACAAATGCCAAAGCCCCTTCTCTCCCTCCGGCCCCTTTACTCTCAGCTGCCCCGAGTCCCTGTGGCTTTCCACTAAGGAGGACTCAGTGGCTTAGCCTGTTACCCAGGGCAGAATAGACAATGCACTCTAAAAACTAAGACAGTGACAACTTAATGAGGGAGGAAATCTGGGGGTGAGACTCAGGCCGAGTGGGAGTGCCTGGCCTCCACAAGTGGGTGGTACCCCTCCCACATGCCACAATGGGAGGTCTCGGCCCAGACCAGGCAGAAAACATTGTACTCAAATGCAGCAACCTGCCTGCTGGGCTGACGTTACCTCTGTCCTGCATTCTCATTAGCACTGGGAAATGCCGGAATGGGGCAGGAGCCTCCGTCTGGCAGGTCTGGGTTCCGGACACTCTTTGTAGCCTTAATCGCACGGTTGTAAACCTTGTCAAGTTCCTCCATGATAAACTTCAAGTCTGAGAAGAGATGAGGTGCGGCTGCGAAACGCCAGAACAGGTGGGGCAGGTACAGGAGGATGGCGAACAGCAGCAAGATGTAGGGGAAAAACTGAAAAACAAGAGAGCAAGGCAGGGATTAACAGACCCCTCCTGGAAGCACCCTGTGTGCCAAGCACTGTGCTCATTAGCCCTACTGCCTGTGGGCACTCAGCTTGTCACCTGCTAGCCTTTCCCAAAAGCCCGCGGGACAATTATCTGAAGAAGTATTAAGTATTAAGTACCATCACACACAAGGCCTGCTGCTATTTTTGTTCCCCACTGTTAAGGTTTTAAGAGGCAACTAACTCCGGGAGTTCCCCACCAACCCCATCCTGAGGTCCTGAAATTAGGGAAAATACCACAGAAACATAATTTCACCCAAAACAAATTAGGAAAATGTTAGCTTCACAGGGACAGTCATTATCCCAGCAAAGAGCTGACAAAAATAGCTGAAACTCAGGAAACATGGCCTGGACCTTGAGGCTGGTCTGGGGCCATAATTTCACAGTGGATGTCAGAGAAGCCAGTGATGGAACTTGGGAGTTAAACTGCTGCCTGCAGTGCTGGCATCTCAGATGCCGCACTTCGCATTTAAATCCCCGTTCCCACACCTGGGAATGCAGCAGATGACCCAAGAACCTGGGCCCTGCACCCACAAGGGAGACAGTTCCTGGCTTCAGCCTGACCCAGTGACTGGGGGAGGAAACTGGATCTCTCCCTCTATGACTCTGGCATGCAAACATATCTCAAAACAAAGCAAGACTGGCAGGTGTTTTCATATCCTAGCTCAGACCTCCCAACACCATTGTGGACCCAGGTAGTGGATCTCTGACCCAGAAGGAAGAGAGAAGTAAACTCAGAAGATTTGGCCTTGGGACTCTGTGAAGCCCCCTCATCAACACAGCTTCCTTGCTTGGAGGTTCTGGGTTGAGACAGAAATGAGTCAGCCTTTGGTTCTGCAGCGCAGTCCCTGAGGCACAGGAACCAGGAGCACCTGTCTTAGGAGATCTGACCTCCAGGGCCCGTGTACACAGGCTTTAGCTCTGAAGGAGAGGCTCCTGCAGGAAGGACCACGTGGTGAATCCAGAAGCAGCAGGGCACAACCCAGGGTATTCCTAGCAGTTGCTTTTAGGGCATGCCTCAAAGATCTCCATCCCCACCCCTCCAGAGCAAGACTTTAACATAGGCCTTTAGGGGGTTTCTCAGAGTGATTAACCCAATTTGCCAAGGGTGGCTACACAATAACACATCCAGCAGGCTATGATTAGCTGCATTTGGTTGAATGATTCAAAACTGGCTGTCCAGAAAGCAGCTTCCCTGCCCACCCTGAAGGGTTCCTATTAGCATACAACAGTAACCAAGTGACACTGCTGCTTCCTTATCCAAGAGAGCTCTTATTTGGCAAGGGTGGGGGGGGGTAATCTGTAATATGTGCTTGTCAAATGTTTCTATAAGTCATTTCTGTTTCAAAGCTGTTTGAGTTACATTCAAATTGTTCTCCTGAATTAAAAAGTGATTGTTTACACTCCCCCGGCAGCCTTCCTAACATGCCTGTATGGTGCAATAATTAGAACCGATGAATAGTGCAGTAAGCTCATTGTAATTAGGAAAACAAATGCTTCAGGGTATTATGCATTGAGTGCTGGGCTTTTGTGCCCTGATCATCACTGAATGCTCCCTCTCTTGCGATCCTGCAGAGTTAAATCATTTTCCTGATCACGAAGGCAAGTTTCTATGAGTGTGTAACAACCTAGTACAATCAATGCCAACCCACAGAAGAATCTAGAAAGCATTCAATTACAGTTTTTAAGAGCCCTATGTCCAAATACCATCCTTGCGAAGGCTGCTGTTCTGAGCGCCCCCTGCTGGTGGCTTTGTTTCCCCGCTGGCTCTCCCACATCTGGCCCGATGTGCTCAGCACCCTGGACACCGCGATCACACTGCTCTGCATGATGTCCAAGTTAGCACTGAATCCATCCAAAGACAGTGACATTCCTCAGGGCGAGGGAGGCCACATCGTTCCAACCACTATTTTCAGTCTATGTTCTTTCCCTTAAAAATCTGCTTTGTTTCCCACAGGACCACACCAGATCCTCCAGAAGGCCATCAGCCCACCCTGCGTCACACTGAAGCATCTGACCAGGACTCAACCACTCTCGGCAGGGCTGTGACCTCCTCTTATAGGAGCGAAAGCAGAAGAATGAATTGAAACATTTCAGGGTGGTGGCCCCCCAGACTCGGTGCAGGATCACCCCGAAATGTATAAGCTTGGGATACAAAGCCTCTGTTCCAGTAGGGCGGCTTCTGTGGTCCTTCAGACAGCCCCCCGACTGGTCGGGGAATGCGAACCCCTCAGAGGGCTGAAGCACAGCAACAAGCCCCTGTGAAGAAGCAGAAACTGCAGAGGCCAGAAGGGTGCGTTAGTGCCCCCCCCCCCAACCCCCAACAAATTCACATCCACCCCAAGGCTAGGACGGCACAGGGTTTGGATACAAGATTTTTACTTAAGTTATTAAAATGAGGTTCTATCAAATTGAGAGCAGCCCTATTCCAGTAGCCACACAGGAGGGAAGCCAGGTGAAGACAGGCCATCTGCTCTGTGTAGAACACCTGCACACCGCCAGGAACAGCAGCCCTCCCCACCCTGCCATGGGACACTTGCATCTGGACTTCTCACCTCCACAAGAGAACTGCATTGTGGTCAGCTGCTACGGTGGCTCCAACCCACTCTCACAAAGGGTGGGCAGGGCCTGGGCTGGGCCACTCAGTAAAACGGGAAGCTTCTGGGGGAAGGCATGAGCGTTCTAGAAAACCCCAGGGGCGGGGGAGGGAGCACAGTGAAGGGAAGAGACAAGGCAGAGGGCACGGCAGCAGCACCAGGGGGTCAAAGGCAGCCAGGGCTGAAAGCGCCAGGGATGGATGGGGAGACCCTGGTTCAGTACCTGCCGCAAACTGAGGACAGTGCCGCAGCTGATGCAAGGGCCTGGCTGGCCCTGCAGGAACGGACTGTGCAAGCAGGGAGGATTAGACTTGGGGAGATGGTGTGTCTGCACAGAAGGAACCATCCAAGCTGCCCTGCTGTTTGCTGGTAGGGAGATGGGGAGAGGGAGCAGTGAGCACGCTTTCTCAGCATGGAAGGACAAGACCCCAAAGAGAAGTAGGTTACAAGGTTCCCACCAAGTGGCCCGAGAATACTGTGCCCTGTAGCCGGGGGATAAATCAGTCCTCCGGGGGCACAGCAGAACTGCAAACCTCAGAGCAGCAGTTCCCTGTGAGCCCTTCAACCCTGCCTTCACAGTGTGAACTTAGTTACAGATGGCTTCTCCATGTAGGGGCAAGGTTGTGCCCCAGTAAAACTTTACAAAACAACTGCTGGGTTGGGTTTGGCGGACGCTTGGGCCTTGTCTACCAACCCTGGCTCTGAATTCTTCTCAAATGGCGTGTGACCCACAAACCAGTACCTATAGCATCAACTGGGGGTTTGCAGTAAGGCAGCCTGCGGGTCTCATGAGACCTGCTGGACCAATCCATCTACAGGTACAGAATCTGGGGTCATCTTGCTGGTACCCACCTGGGCCCAAAGCCAGGCCACTAGCATCAGACTCTCCTGGGAAGTTCATTAAAGCCGCATCCCTGTTCTAAGGTCCAGATGCTTCTGATCCTACCAGAGTTAGAAGACAGGCACACATTTGAGAGAATGTAAATTTTCCCGCTCTGTTACTTATTCTTTTTTTGACTTGGGTTTCCAGCCAAAAGCCAACTTCTCTGTTTTGGAGAAAGATCTTGTTTGGCTTAACATTCTAAACCTAAAAGTACAGGACACGCCAAGAGACCTGTCACCACGTGGTGCTGGAGCGCCACCTGCTGGCCTCCCAGAATGCACACATACTTACAGCAAAGGCATTACTGGAGGCTACCATGAGTACAGGAAGCAGATAGAACTTGAAATACACATGATCAGAAAAGATTCTAAAATGTGCATGACAAATCTTTACAGATCTTCAATCAGACTTAGTCTATTTCTCATCAGAAATCCTACAAGCTAGGAGAATGGAGAAACAGTACAGGTCTTAAAAACTATAACGTATCTTCACTTCCCAGTATTTTAGTCTCCCTTATAAAGTTTATCTCAGAATACATAAATGTGTGTATGTATACACATACATATATATACTTTATATATATATATATGTGTGTGTGTGTGTGTGTGTGTAGGAGGACATTGTGTCCCTGGAAGGCCAGCGAGCACAGATTTGCAGTTCATTGGGCAGTATTTGCATAAAAACAACCAAATGGCTACCTTTTGTATACCTGTTGGGAGATAGTTCCCATGGGTCGAGTAAACAGCATGTGAATGAGAACACCTATACAAGACAAAAGGAATTCCAATCTAGAGTGCGAAAACAGTTGATGGTTTTGTTTATGAGCTAGATACTTCCTCCCCTATCCAATACGGACTTTCAGAGTATAAAGTCTGATGCCCCTAATAAACTTCGGCTTTGACCATCAGTCAGGGTCCATGCGTGTTATTATCGGATCCGTGCACCAAGTCCGTCGCTGCGGGATAGCGACATGTGTGTGTGTTTTGCATTTTGCGTGAGAGTTATATCAGCGAGAACGTATGATACATACTCTTTGGGAAGTGGCTTATTTCACTGAGCATACTCCTAGATAGAAGGAAGACTCACAATGAAACAGTTAAATAGACCCTGACAATATACTAGAATTTCTATCTTTGCCTATACCTACAATACCATGGTGCACAGGATGCAGAATGTTAAACCAGTGCCTGTTACTAAGGGACTATACTACTGTAATATGAGGGAATATGGAGGAAGGGGGAATCCCATAGCTACGAAACTATCATACACAGTAACAATTAAAAAAACTACACTCCCAGGATACTATACCCAGTAAAGCTCTCATTTATACTTGAAGGTGAAATAAAGACCTTCCAAAAGAAACAAATAACTTGCCACCACCTGCCCAGCCCTACAAATGATGCGACACACAGAAACAGACCGATAATCGCCATAATAAAACAATGAGAAGGTAGAAAAGCTCCTAGTA